AAACCCTCTTAACAGAAATAATATTTTTAGTTCTATTTTTTAAATTTTTTATTTCATTTTCTTTTATACATTCAATCATGTTATTTAGCTTACAAAGTGAATATTTCAACATGTGAACATTTTTCCCTAGTCCAGTTGATAAAACTAAAATGATCTTCAACAGATAATACCACATTTCTTTGTGCCATTAATGCTTTGCCTCTCTATTTTTCTTCTAAATGTTCTTCCTCAGACTCTACTCTTTCACACACACTCTATCTGGTATTCACATCCGTTTACTGTGTTTCTATATCCTTTAGTCAATCAGTTCTATTTATAATCATTTCACAACCATAAACAAAAAACTGCCATGTGCATTATATATACATCTGATTTTACTTAGTCTTCCTAACACCCTATATAGGGAGACTTCAAATAGTTCATGAAAAAATGGAATTTAAGTCATTTATTTTGTGCAAAAAATTTTTGGAATTTATGCATAGTTGTTCATAATATGCATTTGCCATACACTTTTTGAAGAGCTCTCATATAATAGGTACTGTTATCCCTATTTTAAAAATGAGCTAACAGATTTACAGATGTAAAAATCCCAGGTTGACCAAGATCATATAGCTAGGAAACGGACAAGACAGATTTTGAACTCAAAGTTTTCCACCTCCAGAATCTGGGTGCTTCACCCATGGTGCTATTTCCAAGTAAGCAAAATTGTTAAAGCCACCCTTCTGTTTAGGCTCTGGTACCCAAATGCTAGCAGCATTTGAAAGAATGCTATAACTTAACATTTGGCGATTTTTACTGAACAAAGGTGAAATGTCTACTATGGGTAGAGAGCTCTTTATACATATATAAAATGTATTTTTATATAATATTATATGGAATATATATACATATATATGTTAGATATGTATATGCATATACATTAGATTTTTGCCATAGAGCATGTGCACTTGCCAGGGAGAGACAGAAGAAGAGAGAAAGTGAGAAGTCACTCTCTGGGCGATGGTCATGCCACATTCCCTCATCCTCCATTCTCCTCTCAGGGTTCTAGGCGTGCACATGTGCCCAGTGTTGTTTCCAAGTTGCCAGGTACAGGACTTGAACTGCAGAGCTGGCCATATGAGACCCAGTGCCTTAACCCTCACCCCCTCTGATGGCCCTGTATTTTTACTTTAAAATTTTTAAATACATTTTTTTAATTGCCAGAGACAGACACAGAGAGAGAAAACAACCATCAATGGGGTGTGGTCATGCTGTAATCCCTTCTGCTCTATTTCTTCATTCTGTCAGCATTTGGGGCATGAACTCACATATGCCCAGCATATTTTTCAAGCCACTGAGCCTGGGATTTGAACTGCAGTCAGCCATGTGGGATCTGCCTCCCTTAACTAGTAGGCTATGGGCGTGGCCCTTTTCTAAATTTATTTATTTGGGCCAGCAGGTGGCATGGTGGTTAAGGTGCTGGACTCCTACATGGCCAACTGCAGTTTTACTCTTGTACTTGAACTTGCTTTCTTACTTTCCTTCTCTTTCTGTCTCTCTTTGGTCAAATTTAAAAACAATAATAAATAAGTAAATAAATAAATAAAATTAGATAATTATAAATATAAATAAATAAAAAGGGATTTTTTTTCTTTTTTTCATTTTCTGGCAGAGTTTTGCTATAGGGCGCGTGTGCTTGCCAGAAAGACAGAAAGCGAGAACTCATCCCCCGGCCCAGGGGGCATGGCCATGCCGCAATCCCTTCTCCTCCATTCTCCTCTCAGGATTTTGGGCACACATGCATATGTGCCTGGCATGAGTTTTAAGCCACTAGGTTCGGGACTCGAACCACAGTCACCTATATGAGTCCATTATGCCATCTGCTGGTCCTAAAAGGTTATTTATTTTTTATGCCAGAGGGCTCATGTTCACGCGTGAGAGGAAGCAGAGAGAGACAGGAGAGAACACTCTCCAATAGGACACAATGACACCGCAATCTTTTCCCACCAATTCTCCATCCTATCAAAATCCTGGACATGTGCACATACTTGCTTGGACAGTTTTTCAAGCCACCAATTCCAGGACTCATACCTTGGTTGGCACATGGGTTCTGGCTTCCCCTGTGCAGAGCACTATGGGGCCAGCTGTTGTAGGGCGGAGCTGGACTGATTTAATTTGTTGGCTCCAAGGTAGGATAATAAATCCCATAGAAGGAAGTGAAGTCCAGCCATGTCATCCAGAACTTTCTTGTCACTCCACTTTTGATGTTGAACTCTCCTCATTCCATCAGTGTGGACTCAGTAGGGAAGAGGGAGTGGAGGGGAGAAGAGGGATGGGGTGAAAAGGAAGAAGAAAAAGGGGGAAGGGAAAGGAAAAGAGGAAGAAAAGGAAAAAGAAGACAGAGCAAATGAATGGGAAAAGAAGGTGGAAGGAATTTTTCTAGGCTAAACCAGTTTCACTGTCAGCTTGGTCTGGGACTCCGTGTTGTGAAAACAAGCCTGGATGTGTAAGTATTTCCAACTGGGGAATGACAGCTACTCCATGGAACAAAATGTTCTCTCCAGACATGGGTGAGCCTTTAGCACGACGAGGAAGAGAACTGTCTTGTCTTGGCTGCCTTTTCCACAGACTATGATGAAAGAAAATTTAGTACAAAAAAAGGCCAAGTGGCTACCGATCACCCTTTTTGGCTGGACAAAATTTAAATTTCACTGATCTGTCCACGCTGTGAAAGGTGACACCTCATTTCCTGTTCAGTAACTAGGGTTAATGACGCCGCAGAGCTGTCCAGTGTGAGCCTGAAAGATGGGGCTCTCAACTCCTGCATTTTGAAACTGTTTCCCAGTGTCCCTGGCAGTACTTACCTTGGTGCTAAAGACCTCAACTTCTGCATTATTATTTTTTTTAAATAAAGGATAAAGAGTGTTATGTCTGCAGAAATCTAAACTCTCCCTACTGGATCAAATCCCAAGCTGAACTTCCTAAGTATTCTTTCGCTCTTCAGGCTCTAAAATATACCCTGACTCTAGGAGCGCTGAATAATGCGGGGAGAAGTCGAGGAATGCTGAGAAAGGTAGAGGCATCTTTCAAAGTCCTCAAGCTTCGGACAGATGGTACATGTCTCATTTCCCAGCGGCCAGAGGACCCCACACGTGGTGTGATGTTCTGGGGTACCACCACTGGTTTCCAGCTCAGAGACAGAGCAGAAAGATGTGAGAGCCAGTGTGGGGATCTGTGCTGTCCCCACCTCTCTGGAGAGGCTGACACATGACAAGGTAGTTGAACGCTCACGATTCCTTTCGCGAGTCCAGGTTGAGTATCCCTTTCTGGAATACTCGGGACTAGAAAGTGTTTTGGATTTTAGATTTAGGAATATGTGCATAGACATAATGAGGCATCTTGGGGATAGGACCCAAGTCTAAACACAACTTTCACTTATGTTTCATATATACTTAAACGCATAGCCCGAAGATAATTTTATATAATACTAGTGTTGCAGTGACCCATCACATGAAGTTAGGTTGTGAAATTTTCTGCCGTTGCTTCACATTGGGCTCAAAGTTTTGGATTTTGGGAGCATTTCAAATTTCAGGTTTTTAGGTTAGGGATGCTCAACTGTACTGCACTTTTTCCACTATGCCCTGTTTCGGACATTATTAGAGCCAAAGGTCAACTCCCACAGGTCTTCAGTTTCTTCCTCAGCCTATCCAGGGTTGTGGAGGGCAGAGACACCCTTTCTCAAGTGGCCAACATTTACTGAGCCTCCACTCCCATTCCACCTCCATGTAGATGACTTGCACATCTCTAACACCGCACTCACCCCTTTAATTGTGCCTTCACTCGTTCACTCGTTCACAAACATCTGGTTTCAACAGGACACCAGATAAAGATGTGCAGGGTTCGTGCTCAAAGTACTGCAGAAGTTCAGAGGAGTTTGGGGTGGAAGGTTGCAGGGGAAGAGAGTCAGCGATTTCTGAAGTGCTGGTCTGGCCCTTTAACCCCCTCTAGCAAAGCTGGGCTCGCAGGTGCTTAGTCAATCCTTGAGGATTACAGACCTAGAGTAGCTTCTTCTGGTCACACGTATAGGTGTCTTGGTCATCTTGTCCTAGAGTCCACTTGGTCTGGAATAGGTACTTGCAGATCTCATGACAAGCCTGATGCCCCAGACAACCACAGCCCTAGACAGCACTGAGAAAAACTACCTGCTGTGGCAGTTTCCTAGCAACTAGCCAGACGTTCCTGAACTGGATCCCTGAGAGGAAGTTCCGGATCTGTCAGGTTCTACCCAGGGCCCCAGAGGCAGCATGTTTCTTGTTCTCCCCTTGTCCTTTCAGCCTCTGGCCATGAATACAGCCATGGTGTTGGCTGCAAAAGTGCCTTTTCCTTTCTGCCATGCCCCCGAGAGCTTTTCCAACTGTAAGAGGAACGAGTTCCATACTCCTGCCTGAGCAGGCTGGCCGGGCAGGCCTTGCTTAACTCTTCTGAGCAGGTGGAAGGGCCATGACCCTGGTGGGTGCACCAAGGGCTAGTGCACACCTTCCCTTCAGGTCTAACTCTTGGGGTCCCTGCAGCCTCTCCTAATGGGGCTGGTCACCAAAGGCTCCTGGTAGACACTGTGACCCCACCAGCAGAGAGGAGTCCATCCTGTCACACAGAGATGCCTACAAACCTTTCTTCTTCCACCCTAGCAAGAAACAAGAAGAGAAGAAGCCTGTCGCTCAAGATTGTTCCTGTGAGCAGCAGTGGCAGCTGCAGAGCCATGGAGGCCACGCACCTTTATTCTCTGGGGACAATTCACCCTAAACAGACCCAGGGGTTAGCTGCCCTGAGAAAAAGCCACTTCCCTGCTTCCCTGCTCTTTCCTAAGGTTAATGAAAAACCTTCCCAAGGGTAACAGATGAGAGAAGAGAAAACATCTCCATACAGTCTAATTCCGCGATGCTTCAGGGTTCCTGCTTTGCTCTCACTGGTGGTTCTCGCTGCTGGGCCACCCGCCACTGAGACAGTCTCTTTCTCTGCAGACCTGATCGTCATTGCCTTCTGGGTGAGCCTGGCTGCCTTCGTGGTGCTCCTCTTTCTTATCTTACTCTGCATTTCCTGGTCAGGCTCCCTGCAGAGGAGGTGAGTGTGAGGGTGTGGGTTGGGTCAGGTGGGTCACTCAGACACTAGGCAGCAACAGCATACCCACACACCGGAATAGTACTCAGCCACAGAAAGAACGAAGTACTGATTCGTGTCACGACACAGACGAACCCAAAAAGCATGCGAGGTGAAAGAAGGCCCCCTACTGTCTGACCCCTGTTTATATGAAAAATGGGCAAATCCAGAGGCTGGAAGCAGATGGGTGGTTGCCTCGGGTGGGAGGGGAGACTTGGGAAGACGGAGTGACAGCTAACGGATTTCTTTTGGGGCTGATAAAAATGCTCTATAATTAGATACGTGATAGCTGCACGATTTTGTGAATATACTAAAGACTGCTGAGCTGTGCTTGCAACTGCGAACTTGATGGTAGATAAAATATGTCTCGATAAAGCTGTTAAAGAAAATGAAGTCAAAATGACTCCATACGCCAGTTAAGTCTTGCCAATCAGCTTACCAGGAAAACAGGCCCCTAACTTAGATACCTACGGCTACCATCTGTCCCTACCTCCTGTGGCGTGCCCAAGTGGCTAAATGACATATAATCTAAGAGCTCCAAGTAGCAACCAGCACCTAGCTCATTTTACGTTAATCCCCTGTGCTACACAACCGGCCCGCAGTGCCCAGTTTCTGTTTGGGCTAGTCTGCCCCCGAGCTGCTGCTGTCCTAATGAGGTTCTTACGAAGGGCCCTATAGGAGACCAGGGTGGGGCAACGGGACCAGAAGGCCTGTCCAGAGGCCAGCACCCCTGGAATATGTGACCTGGTCAAAAAGCTGAGCCCTTCATTTTTCGTCTCTGGAATCTGGAACCTGGAAACTGAGATGGTCCAGGCTGCTGTGGGTCGAGGAGGAGGATGGGCCTGGGAGCCGGTATGGACCATTGTGTCCACTGCAGACAGAAGTCATGGGGACGGAAACCACAAGTACACACGGGAAGGTCCTGGCAGAGAGAACAGGGTGCTCTGAGGGAGAGGAGGGGGCATGTGAACCCACTAGGGGACCCAGGCCCATTCCTGTGAGGTACATGTGGATCTATGAATTACAGCTGCCCAAGGGGCCTCTGGTCCTCCCCACTTCCTCGCCAGGTCATTTCTGCTGACCTTTGGGAGGCAGGGACCAGCTGAGGAATGAAAAATCTATTCTTTCTCTCAGTCTTCAGAACTCATTGAATGTAAGCAGAGTTTTGCTCTCAAGAGAGGCTGGGCAGGAAAATGAATGAAATCACCTTTCTTTTCTACTCTTCTGAGGTGACTGCAAGCTTTGTGCCAGGGACAGGTCACGCTCCTGGTAGAAAGTGCTCACATGGGGGGCCGCCCTGGGTCCCACACTCTGTTCCAGTGGACGGCATAGCCGTGGGCTAGTTTTGCAGAGGCATGCTCTCGAGACACTTTATAGCAGATCTGCAAGCTCAGGGAAGCTAAGTGGGTCTTTTTCTTAAAAAAAAAAAAAAAGAATTATTTTATTTGTTATTATTATTATTTTTTTAATCTGAGCAAAGAAATAGAGAGGAAATGGGAAAGTGAGAAAGCAAGCCACCAGGTCTAGGATTCAAACCGCAGTCAGCCACATGGGATTCCAGCACCTTAACCACCACCAACTGCTGGCCCCAAGTGGGCCTTTTTATGATAGGAGTGTTCAGTTGCTCCCCGAGGAGCTGCTCCTTCCACAAGTCAGGGAGGAAAATGAAAAGCAGTTCCTCTCCCACTGCCTCCACACCCAGGCTCCCCTGCAGGTGTACTTCACTAAACCACATTTGAACTTGCTCCCTAGCTGGGCACCCACTGAGGTGTCACCCCTTTTCACACTGATGATACCTACAAGGCAAGCAGCGTCCCATTGTGTGGGTGAAACGAGACAGGCAGGCAGTGGAGGTCAGGGCTGACACCGCGCCACTAAGTCCACTGCCCCCACACTTCCCAGGCAGAAACCCAACCAGGGCACACAGGTTGCTAGCCCAGGGCAGCTAGCTTTGGGCATGGATGTGTGGCTGAATGGAGGGTCAAACTGTGTCCCCACAGCTGTGAACAAATACAGAACAGGTGACCTCAAGGGAAGGACCTGAGTCCTAGTTCCCCACAGAGTATCCTCTCTTCGATTTCTCTGTGGTGGTGACCTCAGTGAGCTAGGCTAATCCTCCCAGGGCCCTGGGCAGAAGAAGGGTGCGACTGGGAGTGCCCCAGGTGAGGACCATGTCCAGCCAGCTCCTGGATGCCTGCCTCACACTCTGCTCTGTCCACAGGAATAGTCCCCAGCCCCACCCAACATGCCCATGGAGCTACGGCCTTCTCCTCTGTATTCGAAGGCACCTGGAGCGTCACAGGGCCACCCGGGGGGACTTGCAGACTCCACAGAGCTCAGTGGAGGAGCCAGGAAGCAGAGCTGGCCCCAAGCAGCAGCCACAGCGGGAGAGCTCCTCTGCCATGGCCCCCTAAACCCACCTTGCTCTTCTCCGGGAACTGGTCCCTGAAGGGGGTCCCCATGGCACCAGCTGATCTCAAGAGCAAGCCCAGCAAGCCTCCCCTGGACAACCTGCGGACTGTAGGTCTGACACCAGCAAACCATGGCCATAGCTGAGTCAACTGGTGAGATCAAACCAACCTGGACACACAAGATGTCTCTTTCGAGCCTGTTTACATGTAGAAGGTGCAACTGGGCCAAGAATGCCTAGATAAGGCGTGTCATTTGCATTTGTGAAAGGTTTGCAAATGGCCCCTCTAGCCTACAAATGTCAGATATTGCTGATTTTACTTAGCACACCAAGCCTGCCCTTTCACTGCTTATGTCTACTTTGGGAAGGGTAGGCTAATAAAATACGTATGAACTAAGATTTTTAAAAATGTCCTTACTCATCTTTCCTATGCCACTTTACAACTTCTCTTATATCTTACTGACCTTGGGTCCACTGGTCCATCTGTACCTTCTGTGGGATGTCTGGGGAAGGCCTGCAAAGTCCCCATCATCCTCCACTGACACCTGCGGCTCCCCAAGATGTGGGATAGTCTGCCCTACAGGCCAGTGGGCTGATGATGTCAAGGGACCCAGGACACTCCTCCTATCTCCCCACAGCCTTCAAAGATAGAGCTCAGGGGAGCTCTCCAGGGCCAAGAGCGGCTAACCAGCCCCTGTC